ACCCCGGGGGGGGATCTGCACCAGGGGGGTCTGCAATGGGGATCTGCACCGGGGGGGTCTGCAATGGGGGGGATCTGCACCGGGGGGATCTGCATTGGGGATCTGCACGGGGGGATCTGCACGGGGGGATCTGCACCGGGGATCCACACCAGGGGATCTGCATCGGAGCCGGCCGGGGGCTGGGGCAGGGGAGTGGGACACGGACCCAGCATGGGGTGTCTTTAAACTGTCCCTGGGGCGTCCCAAATAACCCCTGGGGGGGCCCTAAACCACCCCTGGGGCATCCCAAAACCACTCCTGGGATGTGCCAGAAATCCCAAAACCACCCCTGGGGTGTGCCAGAAATCCCAAAACCACCCCTGGGGTGTCTCAGGGCATCCCAAAACCACCCCTGGGCCATCCCAAATAATCCCTGGGCCATCCCAAAACCACCCCTGGGGTGTCTCAGGGCATCCCAGAGCTTTAGGGGCGGTGTGGGTGCTCCTGCCTGGCTTTGGGGGTGGATTTCGGGCCCTGGGGGTCTTTCCCTGCCCTGAGGAAGGACAGCCCTGGCTGCAGGGGTGTGCCAGAAATCCCAAAACCACCCCTGGGGTGTCTCAGGGCATCCCAAAACCACCCCTGGGCCATCCCAAATAATCCCTGGGCCATCCCAAAACCACCCCTGGGCTGTCTCAGAGCATCCCAAAACCACCCCTGGGCCATCCCAAATAATCCCTGGGCCATCCCAAAACCACCCCTGGGGTGTCTCAGGGCATCCCAGAGCTTTAGGGGCGGTGTGGGTGCTCCTGCCTGGCTTTGGGGGTGGATTTCGGGCCCTGGGGGTCTTTCCCTGCCCTGAGGAAGGACAGCCCTGGCTGCAGCGAGGAACTCACCATCTGCCTCTCGTTCTTCACCTCCTTCTTCAGCTGGTCCAGCTCCATCTTCAGCAGCTCCTTCTCGGTCATGTCCTGAGCCATTGTGCCCTGGAACTGAGGCACGGCTGATTATTGGCATTTTTGCTGTGTGCCAGCAGGACTGTGACCCGCTGGTGTCCCTGACCACTGCCTGGGAACCCCTTCCCAGCTTTCCTAAGGAATTAAACTCATTTCAGCTTTCCTTTCCTCCAGCTCTTACAGCACGGCTCCTCCGTCACCCTGAACTCCGTTATTTGCACTTCCCAGCTTTCCCAAGGAATTAAACTCATTTCAGCTTTCCTTTCCTCCAGCTCTTACAGCACAGCTCCTCCGTCACCCTGAACTCCGTTATTTGTGCTCCCCTGAAGCTTTTGGGGCCGTGGAGGTTGGGAAAACCCAACTCTTTTTCCCAAAAAACCCCATGGCACGCGTGCCCCGTGCCCACACATCCCTGGGGACACCGCCAGCCCCGGGAGCTCCCAAATCCGGGGGGAAAGCGGCTCCTGGTGCCCAAATCGTCCCGGAGGAGGGGAGGCACTCACCTGGGGGGCCGGGGGGGCCCCTGTGCGCGCTGGGGCCGCTCAGAGCCCCATGGAGGGGAGAGGAGAGGCTGCTGCGGGCTCCGGGCTCTGCCGGCAGCAGATGTCTTTGCTCCTAAGCTGATAATGGACTCAGGAGCCTAAGCCGGTCAGGTGTCGGGAATTAGCCCCAAAGCCCGGCCTAATCGGGCCGGGGTGGGGCAGGAGGGGTGGGTGGGGTCCGGCCGGGACACCCCCGGAGCCCCCAGGGCCTGCCCGGGACACCGAGCCCGGAGTGTCCGGGTCCTGCCCGGAGCGGCGGGAGTGACCCCGGGAGTGACCCCGGAGTGACCCTGGAGTGACCCAGGGGTGACGTTCTCCAGTGACCCCTGGAGTGACCCCTGGGAATGACCCCTGGGAGTGACCCCTGGGAGTGACCCCTGGGAATGACCCCTGGGAGTGACCACTGAGAGTGACCCCGGGAGTGACCCCGGAGTGACCCAGGGGTGACCACTGAAAGTGACCCCTGGAGTGACCCCTGGGAGTGACCCCAGGAGTGACCACTGAGAGTGACCCCGGGAATGACCCTGGGAGTGACCCCGGGAGTGACCACTGAGAGTGACCCTGGGAGTGACCTCTGGAAATGACCCCTGGGAGTGACCCCTGGGAGTGACCCTGGGAGTGACCTCTGGGAGTGACCCCGGGAGTGACCACTGAAAGTGACCCCTGGGAGTGACCCTGGGAGTGACCACTGAGAATGACCCCAGGACTGACCACTGAGAATGACCTCTGTGAGTGACCACTGACAATGACCTCTGGGAGTGACCCCGGGACTGACCCCGGGGTTGACCCCTGGGGGTCCCGGCAGCTTCCCCCGGTTTGGGAGGGGAGCCGGGGGCAGCTCCGGGGGCTGGAGGCAGCTCGGGGAGCCGGGGGCAGCTCCTGGGGCCGGGGGCAGCTCGGGGAGCCGGGGGCAGCTCCGGGGGCTGGAGGCAGCTCGGGGAGCCGGGGGCAGCTCCGGGGGCCGGGGGCAGCTCGGGGAGCCGGGGGCAGCTCGGGGAGCCGGGGGCAGCTCGGGGAGCCGGGGGCAGCTCCGTGCCGGTGCCGGGGCTGTGAGGAGCGGGAGCGGAGCGGGAGCGGAGGAAATCCATCATCATTTCCCTCGGGATGGGCTCAGGAAGGGCCCGGCCCCAGCGCTGGGGACGGAGCCCGGGAGGCCCAGGGAAGCACCTGGGGGTGGAGCAGGAGCTGAGCAGAGGCTGGCGCGGCTTTCCGAGCCCCGGGAAGTGGGAATTTCCTGCGGGGATGTGAAACGTCCCTGGCTGGGGACGCGCTGTCCCCGCTGTCCCCAGCCAGGGGGCCCGGGCACCGCGGGGGTCACCGGGCTCGTCCCGCTGTGCCCGGCTCCGGGAGAGGCTGCACGGGGAGGGGCGCTGGCACCGGGAGCATCCCGGAATCCACGAACATTCCCTTCCTTTGCCTTTACCGGGCGGGCGAGGCGCGCAGCCAAGGGCGGCGAGAGCTCCGCGGGTTGCGGGACGTGCCGAGCCTGGCTCGGGCCCAGCCCCGGGGGGCGGCGGTGGCACAGGGGCAGAGATGGGGGTCGGGGTGATTTTAGGGTCGGGATCCCTTTGGGGTCGGGATCCTTTTGGGGTCAGGATCCCTCTGGAGTCGGGATCCTTCTGGGGTCTGGATCCTTCTGGGGTCTGGATCCCTTTGGGGTCGGGATGATTTTAGGGTTGAGATCCTTCTGGGGTCGGGATCCTTCTGGAGTTGGGATCCTTCTGGATTTGGGATCCCTTTGGGGTCGGGATCCTTCTGGAGTTGGGATCCCTTTGGGGTCTGGATCCTCCTGGGGTCTGGATCCCTTTGGGGTCGGGATCCTTCTGGATTTGGGATCCCTTTGGGGTCGGGGTCCTTCTGGATTTGGGATCCCTTTGGGGTCGGGATCCTTCTGGATTTGGGATCCCTTTGGGGTCGGGATCCTTCTGGAGTTGGGATCCTTCTGGAGTCGGGATCCCTTTGGGGTCGGGGTCCTTCTGGGGTCACTCCCCGACGTGCAGCCGCGGTTCCCCGTGACTCACATCCTTCCCCGCTGCCATCCCCGCCGCGGCCGGGGCCCCGTGCCTTCCTCGCCGCCAGCCCCCCGCTTGTCGCCGGCAGGGCGGGGGTGTCCCTCGGCGGGACGGGGACACCGCGGCGCCCGCGGGCCCTGCGTCAGCGCCGGCAGCGCCTTCAAAACGCGCAGCGGGGAGGAAGTGGGAGCCGAGAGCGAGGCGATGTCGGAGCTGGAGCGGCTGCGGCACAGCGACATCCCCGCGGGCCGGCAGCGGCTGCGGGAGCAGCACGGCAACCTGCTGCGGGTGGCCGACTACTGCCACAGCAACTACCTGCAGGTCAGGGCCGGGCCGGGGGCGATGCCGGCCCCGCGGGGTGGCTGCTGGAGCGGTGCCCCGGGAGCCCGAGCATCCCCGCTGGCTCCCGGCCCGCCTGCCCCGGCTCCCCTCGGCTGCGTTTTCCCCGTGCCTTGGCTTCTCCTCGGCTCCCCAGCGGCTCCCGCGGGGCTTTGGGGTGCAGGGGGGGGTTCTCCAGGGGGTTGGTGGCACCGGGGCCAGGTGTGTGTCACCTCCAGGGGCTGGGAGGTGGCACCCGGCGGGGCCTGCACACGCAGGGTGAGTGTGAAGCTCTGCTGGCACATGCCTTGTCCTCCTCCTCGTGCTCTTCCTCATCCTCATCCTGCTTCTCCTCATCCTCCCCCTCCTGCTCCTGCTGCCTGCCTGGCTCCCTGAGGGCTGGGGTAGGAGATGAAGGAGAAGGAAATGCCCCTCTGGCCCTCCCTGCCGGGCAGGGGTCCCCTGTGCCCCCAGGACTGGGGCTGTGGCCTCTCGGAGGGCCCAGAGCCAGCGGGGCAGAACCGAAGGGAAATGAGCTGAGCTATTCTGGGAGCTGAGAGCCCCAGCAGGGCTGAGAGGGCTGAGAACCCAGCAGGGCTGAGAGCCCCAAAAGGGCTGAGAACCCAGCAGGGCTCAGAAAAGCAGGGGCTGAGAGCCCCAGAATGGCTAAGAGCCTCAAAAGGGCTGAGAGGGCTGAGAGCCCAGCAGAACTGAGAGCCCCAAAAGGGCTGAGAGGGCTGAAAACCCAGCAGGGCTGAGAGCCCCAAAAGGGCAGAGGGCCTCAAAAGGGCTGAGAACCCAGCAGGACTGAGAGCCCAGAATGGCTGAGAGCCCCAAAAGGGCTGAGAGGGCTGAGAGCCCAGCAGGGCTGAGAGCCTCAAAAAGGCTGAGAGGGCTGAGAGCCCAGAATGGCTGAGAGCCCCAAAAGGGCTGAGAGGGCTGAGAGCCCAGCAGGGCTGAGAGCCCAGCAGCGCTGAGAGCCCCATCACGGCTGCTGCCACCCCAGCTGTCCCACACGTGGCTCCCCTGGCTGTCCCCAGGGGTGGCCGGAGGCCGCTCCGGGCACTCGGTGTCCTCCGGAACCCTCCGGGACATCGTTCCCGTCAGGAATCCCGGGGAATCCCCGGATGCCCCCTCCCGCTGGCGCGCTGGAGCCGGGGGAAGCGTGAGGCATTTGGAAAGCAGAAGGAAACACCAGCGGTTTTTCTGTCCCACGGCCGGCTGTGTCCCCCGCAGGCCAGCGACAAGAGGAAGGCGCTGGAGGAGACGATGGCTCTGAGCACGCAGTCCCTGGCCAGTGTCACCTACCAGGTCAGCAGCCTGGCCGGCGCCTTCCTGCGCCTGCTGGAGCTGCAGGCGGCCCAGCTGCGCCGGGTGGAGGCCGACATCGCCTGCGTGGCACAGGTGGGACGCTGGGGACAGTGGGGCACTGGGGGGTGGGCTTGGGACAAGGCTCTGGGCGGCTCCGAGGGGCTGCAGACCCCCCTGCCCCGTGCACTGGGAGTGCAGAACCACCCCCAGGGGTCGGGAATTGGTCTCGGGGGTTTTTGCTGTCATGCCTGCCGATCCCAAAGTGCCCCCAAATCTCCGAGTGGAGCTCAGAGCGTTGGCCTGGCTGCCACACTGTCCCCGTGCTGGAGCCTGGCCTTGTCCTGCTGGGGCTTGGGGACACTGCTGCAGGGTCATGTGGCCACCAGGAGCTTGGGGACATTGCTGCAGAATCCCAGAGCTTGGGGACACTGCTGCGGGGTCCTGTAGCCACCCAGAGTTTGGGGACATTGCTGCAGAATCCCAGAGCTTGGGGACACTGCTGCGGGGTCCTGTAGCCACCCAGAGTTTGGGGACATTGCTGCAGAATCCCAGAGCTTGGGGACACTGCTGCGGGGTCCTGTAGCCACCCAGAGTTTGGGGACATTGCTGCAGAATCCCAGAGCTTGGGGACACTGCTGCGGGGTCCTGTAGCCACCCAGAGTTTGGGGACATTGCTGCAGAATCCCAGAGCTTGGGGACACTGCTGCGGGGTCCTGTAGCCACCCAGAGTTTGGGGACATTGCTGCAGAATCCCAGAGCTTGGGGACACTGCTGCGGGGTCCTGTAGCCACCCAGAGTTTGGGGACATTGCTGCAGAATCCCAGAGCTTGGGGACACTGCTGCGGGGTCCTGTAGCCACCCAGAGTTTGGGGACATTGCTGCAGAATCCCAGAGCTTGGGGACACTGCTGCGGGGTCCTGTAGCCACCCAGAGTTTGGGGACATTGCTGCAGAATCCCAGAGCTTGGGGACACTGCTGCGGGGTCCTGTAGCCACCCAGAGTTTGGGGACATTGCTGCAGAATCCCAGAGCTTGGGGACACTGCTGCAGGGTCCTGGGGCCACCCAGAGATTGGGGACACTGCTGCAGGGTCCCATGGCCACCCAGAGCTTGGGGACACTGCTGCAGGGTCCTGTGGCCACCCTGAACTTGGGGACAATGCTGCAGGGTCCTGTGGCCACCAGGAGCTTGGGGACAATGCTGCAGGGTCCTGCGGCCACCCAGAGCTGGGGGACATTGCTGCAGGGTCCCAGAGCTTGGGGACAATGCTGCAGAGGTCTGTGGCCACCCAGAGCTTGGGGACACTGCTGCAGGGTCCCAGTGCCACCCAGAGCTTGGGGACAATGCTGCAGGGTCCCAGAGCTTGGGGACACTGCTGCAGGGACGGTGGCACCCGGGGGAGGGGGGAGGTCCTGGGACAGGACCTTGGTGACAGTGTCACCTCGGCAGAGCGTGGACATCCACAAGGAGAAGGTGTCACGCCGCGAGATCGGCGCCCTGACCGTCACCAGGAGGCTGCTGAGCTACCAGAAGGTCGTGGCCCCCCCAGAGCCCCCCGTGCTGGAGCCCTATTACAGGAAACCCCTCAACTTCAGCGCGCTGGACGGCGTCGGCCACGGGGTCAAGGTCAGCACGGGGGGCTTGGGTGGCACTGATCAGTCCCCAGTGTCCCCTGAGGGGTGCACGGGTGGCTGAGACCCCTCCTCCCTGGAGAAATGGGGTCTGTGCCCACTCAGCTTTGGGGGCCTGGCACCCCACAGAGCCTTTCCCAGCTCTGGAAACCCCCCAAGGGGGATTTGGGATCCTCAGAGCCCCGTGACCCTGTCCCAGCTCTGAACAAAACCCCACAGGAGGGATTTGGGATCCTCAGAGCCCCGTGAGCCTCTCCCAGCTCTGGAAAACCCCCAGGAGGGATTTGGGATCCTCAGAGCCCCGTGAGCCTTTCCCATCTCCAGAAAACCCCCCAGGAGGGATTTGGGATCCTCAGAGCCCCGTGAGCCTTTCCCATCTCCAGAAAATCCCACAGAAGGGATTTGGGATCCTCAGAGCTCCACGAGCCTTTCCCAGCTCTGAACAAAACCCCCAGGAGGGATTTGGTATCCTCAGAGCCCTGTGAGCCTTTCCCAGCTCTGGAAAGTGCCCCCAGGAGGGATTTGGGATCCTCAGAGCCCTACAGAGCCTTTCCCATCTCCAGAAAACCCCACAGAAGGGATTTGGGATCCTCAGAGCCCCGTGAGCCTGTCCCCGCTCTGGAACGTGCCCCCAGGAGGGATTTGGGATCCTCAGAGCCCCGTGACCCTGTCCCAGCTCTGGAAAACCCCCCAGGAGGGTTTTGGAGGCCTCTCAGCCCCACAGATCCTCCCCCCGTGCGGAAATCCCCGCGGCGGGCTCGGGGCGCCCAGCCGGTGCCGGGGCGGCCGCGGTTCCCCCGGAGCCGCTGCCTCGGGGCCGCCCCCGCAGCCCCGGCGCCTTCCGCTGCTCCCCGAGCCCGCCGCGGATGTCACGGCCCCGCGGTGCCCGGAGGTCACGGGCAGGGATGTCACCCACATGTGTCCCCGTGTCTGTGTGTCCCTGTGTCGGTGTGTCCGTGTGTCCCCGTGTCCCCGTGTCTGTGTGTCCCTGTGTCCCTGTGTCCATGTGTCCCCATGTCTGTGTGTCCCCATGTCCCTGTGTCCCTGTGTCCCTGTGTCCCTGTGTCCCTGTGTCCGTGTGTCCCTCTGTCTCTGTGTCCCCGTGTCCCCATGTCCATGTGTCCCCGTGTCCATGTGTCCCCGTGTCTGTGTGTCCCTGTGTCCGTGTGTCCCCGTGTCCCCGTGTCTGTGTGTCCCTGTGTCCCTGTGTCCATGTGTCCCCATGTCTGTGTGTCCCCGTGTCCCTGTGTCCCTGTGTCCCCGTGTCTGTGTGTCCCCGTGTCCGTATGTCCCCGTGTCCCGTGTCCCGTGTCCCCGTGCCGCAGGACACCAGCACGCAGCTGTCCCGCACCGGCACCCTGGCTCGGAAAAGCGCCAAATCCTGCTCGGCACCGGCTGCGGGAACGCTGGGGTGAGACGGGCCGGGCCGGGGGGATGGCCCTGCTCTGTCACCGAGGGGTGGTGGCACGAGACCTCGGTCGGGGTCCCATCCCATCCCATGGACCCCATCCCATGGACCCCATCCCATCCCGTCCTATCCCATCAATCCCATCCCACCCCACTGATCCCACCCCACTGATCCCATCCCATCCTATTGATCCCATTCCATCCCATCCTGTCCCACTAAACCCATGGATCCCATCCCGGGGGGAAAAATGGGGTTTGGGGGAAAAATGGGGTTTGGGGGAAATAAAGGGGTTTGGGGGAAATAAAGGGGCTTGGGGGGAAAATGAGATTTGGGGAAATAAAGGAGTTTGGGGGGAAAAATGGGGTTTGGAGGAAAAATGGGGTTTGGGGGAAATAAAGGGGTTTGGGGGAAATAAAGGGGCTTGGGGGGAAAATGAGATTTGGGGAAATAAAGGAGTTTGGGGGGAAAAATGGGGTTTGGAGGAAAAATGGGGTTTGGGGGAAATAAAGGGGTTTGGGGAAATAAAGGGATTTGGGGGAAAAATGGGATTTGGGGGAAATAAAGGGGTTTGGGGAAATAAAGGGATTTGGGGGGCAAATAAAGGGGTTTGGGGGGGAAATAAAGGGATTTGGGGGATTTGCTTCCCTGGCAGGGCTGGTGTGCAGAGCAAGGATGTCCTTTAGGGAGAGGGGGAGCGATGGGAGATGATGGGAACGATGGGAAATAATAATGGGAAATGAAATAATGATGGGAAATAAATAATGACGGGAATGATGGGGAGGAATGGGGCACGGCGTGGGGAAGGGTTTGCACGCCGCAGAGCCTCGTGCCACACGGTGCCACCTTGTCCTGGCACGGGCCAGTGTCTGCGCTCAGGGTGGGGACACAGGGACCCCCAGCCTGACACTGCTGCTCCTTCCCCCCCAGCTCCCGCGGGGCCCCGGCGGCCGCTGGGGACGGAATTCCTGCCCCGCCACCGCTGCCGGGGCCACCCCTGCTGCCACCGTCACCTCCGGGGCCACCCCCGCCTGCCACTGCCATCCCGCCTCCGCCACCCCTGCCCGGGGACCTGCTGCCACCCCTGCCCGGGGACCTGCTGCCACCCCTGCCCGGGGACCTGCTGCCACCCCTGCCCGGGGACCTGCTGCCACCCCTGCCCGGGGACCTGCTGCCACCCCTGCCCGGGGACCTGCTGCCACCCCTGCCCGGGGACCTGCTGCCACCCCTGCCCGGGGACCTGCTGCCACCCCTCCCCGGGGACCTGCTGCCACCCCTGCCCGGGGACCTGCTGCCACCCCTCCCCGGGGACCTGCTGCCACCCCTCCCTGGGGACCTGCTGCCACCCCTCCCCGGGGACCTGCTGCCACCCCTCCCTGGGGACCTGCTGCCACCCCTCCCCGGGGACCTGCTGCCACCCCTCCCTGGGGTTTGGGGAAATAAAGGGATTTGGGGGAAAAATGGGATTTGGGGGAAATAAAGGGGTTTGGGGAAATAAAGGGATTTGGGGGGCAAATAAAGGGGTTTGGGGGGGAAATAAAGGGATTTGGGGGATTTGCTTCCCTGGCAGGGCTGGTGTGCAGAGCAAGGATGTCCTTTAGGGAGAGGGGGAGCGATGGGAGATGATGGGAACGATGGGAAATAATAATGGGAAATGAAATAATGATGGGAAATAAATAATGACGGGAATGATGGGGAATGGGGCACGGCGTGGGGAAGGGTTTGCACGCCGCAGAGCCTCGTGCCACACGGTGCCACCTTGTCCTGGCACGGGCCAGTGTCTGCGCTCAGGGTGGGGACACAGGGACCCCCAGCCTGACACTGCTGCTCCTTCCCCCCCAGCTCCCGCGGGGCCCCGGCGGCCGCTGGGGACGGAATTCCTGCCCCGCCACCGCTGCCAGGGCCACCCCTGCTGCCACCGTCACCTCCGGGGCCACCCCCGCCTGCCACTGCCATCCCGCCTCCGCCACCCCTGCCCGGGGACCTGCTGCCACCCCTGCCCGGGGACCTGCTGCCACCCCTGCCCGGGGACCTGCTGCCACCCCTGCCCGGGGACCTGCTGCCACCCCTGCCCGGGGACCTGCTGCCACCCCTCCCTGGGGACCTGGCCGTGCCCCCACCGGAGTTCCCCCCTCCAGGTGAGTGCTCAGTGCTTCTGGGGGTGACAGGGACACCGAGGGCAGCGTGTGACCCATCCCTGTCCCTTCTGGGGGTGACAGGGACACGGGGGACAGCACGTGACACATCCCTGTCCCTTCTGGGGGTGACAGGGACACGGGGGACAGCGTGTGACCCGTCCCTGTCCCTTCTGGGGGTGACACGGGGGGCAGCGTGTGACCCGTCCCTGTCCCGTGGTGAGCCCCTTCCCCCCTCACCCCTTCTGGGGCTTTCGCAGCCCCCGACGACCTCGAGCTGCTGCCACCACCCCCAGCTGTGCCTGACTTTGGGGACCTGGCCCTGCCACCGCCACCAGCCGCAGAGGAGCCCCCGCGGGCCCCGGAGAGCCCCCTGTAGAAAGGTACCGAGGGTCCCAAACCCCCTCACAGAGGGTCCCAAACCCTGCAGAGGGGTGCAGAGGGTCCCAAACCCCCTCACAGAGGGTCCCAAACACCCTCACAGAGGGTCCCAAACACCCTCACAGAGGGTTCCAAACCCTGCAGAGGGGTACCAAAGTGTCCCAAACCCCCTCACAGAGGGTCCCAAACCCCTGCAGAGGGGTGCAGAGGGTCCCAAACCTCTGGTGAAAGGTACAGAAGGTCCCAAACCCCCCAGGTCCCCTGGCCCAGCCCCTGCCCAGCCACCCCCGAGGATCCAGAGCCATCCCCGAAGATCCAGAGCCACCCCCAGGAGCAGGAGCCACCCCCAGGAGCCAGAGCCACCCCCGAAGATCCAGAGCCACCCCCAGGAGCAGGAGGCACCCCCGAGGATCCGGAGCCACTCCCAGGATCCAGAGCCACTCCCGAAGATCCAGAGCCACCCCCAGGATCCAGAGCCACCCCAGAAGATCCAGAGCCACCCCCAGGATCCAGAGCCACCCCAGGATCCAGAGCCACCCCCCGGGGCAGGAGCCACCCCCGAGGATCCAGAGCCACCCCCGAGGATCCAGAGCCACCCCCAGGATCCAGAGCCACCCCCAGGAGCAGGAGCCACCCCGGGCTGCGGCTCGGAGCCTGTCCCAGCCGGGCCGTGCCCCCTCCCCTGTTTTCTCCATACACAGCTCTGCCTCTCTCACACGGGTTTGCAGCTTTAATTCCATGGCTTTGAGTTCCTCACAGTCCAGGAGGAGGAGGAGGAGGAGGAGGAAGGACGAGGGGCGGGGGTGGCACGGAGGGGGAACGACTCGGGGCTGCTTTGGTTGTTTCCTGCGGGGCTTTGGGGAGCCCTCGGGGGCCGGGAAGGCTGAGGATAAACCGGGACAAACCCAGGATAAATCCAGGGGGAGCCAACCCCAGAGAGCAGCAGGTGCTGGAGGTGCCCCTGCAGAGTGCAATTAGAAGGGGTAATTAATTAATTAATTAATTAATACCGCGGTGGGGAGGGGGACACGGACGGGGGGCAGGGGGGGGCTGGCCTCTGGTGCCAGCAGTGTCCCCCGGGGGGATTGTGGCACCTCGCGGGTGCCCGGCTCGGGGGGATTTGACCCTCCCTGGGGGAGGAGGGACCCTGCACGATCCAGGGAAGGGCTGGGGCAGGGAGGGGACGCGGGGACACCGCGGGGACACCGCGGGGACACCGCGGGGACACGGGGAGAGGAGCGGGGCTGGCGGGGGCGAGGCCGGGCCCTGCTGCGGCTCCTGTGCCCGGCGGGACGGGGCTGGAGGGGCTCTGCCCCTTCCCAAAACTCTCCCGGTGCTCCCGGCACGGTTTGTCCCGGGAATGAATCCCCAGGGAGAGAGAGCCCCAGAGCAGGGCTCGGGATGGGGTGTGGGGGCCAGGGAGCAGGGATTTCCCAGCTGGAATTCCCAGGGGGATCGAGCCCAGGGAGCAGGGATTTCCCAGCCGGAATTCCCAGGGGGATCGAGCCCAGGGAGCAGGGATTTCCCAGCCAGAATTCCCAGGGGGATCAGGAGCCCAGGGAGCAGGGATTTCCCAGCTGGAATTCCCAAGGGGATCGAGCCCAGGGAGCAGCGATTTCCCAGCTGGAATTCCCAGGGGGAAGGAGCCCAGGGAGCAGGGATTTCCCATCCAGAATTCCCAGCAGGACCAGGAGCCCAGGGAGCAGGGATTTCCCAGCCGGAATTCCCAGAGGGATCAGGAGCCCAGGGAGCAGGGATTTCCCAGCTGGAATTCCCAGTGGGATCAAGAGCCCAGGGAGCAGGGATTTCCCAGCCAGAATTCCCAGGGGGATCAGGAGCCCAGGGAGCAGGGATTTCCCAGCTGGAATTCCCAGTGGGATCAGGAGCTCAGGGAGCAGGGATTTCCCAGCTGGAATTCCCAGTGGGATCAAGAGCCCAGGGAGCAGGGATTTCCCAGCCAGAATTCCCAGGGGGATCAGGAGCCCAGGGAGCAGGGATTTCCCAGCTGGAATTCCCAAGGGGATCGAGCCCAGGGAGCAGCGATTTCCCAGCTGGAATTCCCAGGGGGATCGAGCCCAGGGAGCAGGGATTTCCCAGCCGGAATTCCCAGGGGGATCAGGAGCAGGGAAGGAGCCCAGGGAGCAGGGATTTCCCAGCCGGAATTCCCAGCGGGATCAGGAGCCCAGGGACCAGGGAGCAGGGATTTCCCAGCCGGAATTCCCAGGGGGATCAGGAGCAGGGAAGGAGCCCAGGGAGCAGGGATTTGCCATCCAGAATTCCCAGTGGGATCAGGAGCCCAGGGAGCAGGGATTTCCCATCCAGAATTCCCAGGGGGATCGAGCCCAGGAAGCAGGGATTTCCCAGCTGGAATTCCCAGCGGGATCAGGAGCCCAGGAGCAGGGATTTCCCAGCCGGAATTCCCAGCGGGATCAGGAGCAGGGAAGGAGCCCAGGGAGCAGGGATTTCCCAGCTGGAATTCCCAGCAGGATCAGGAGCAGGGAAGGAGCCCAGGGCCAGAGCAAGGACGTGCCCAGCCCGCGGGAAGCTGGCTGCTGCATTTTTGGGAATTCTCTTTCGAGATCAAAAGGAAAAGGAAGCAACAACTCCCCCAAACATCCCCGTCCGGTCCCAAAGGGCGCGGGGGCCGGCTGTGGCCGTGGCTCCGTGGCCGGGCAGGACCAGGGGCCTGCAGAAAATGCTTCCCTGGCCAGGAACGGGCTGGGAAAGGCAGGAGAACATCCCGGCAGGTGCTCAGCACTTCCTGCGGAGCAGCTCCTGCAGGTACCGCGCCACCTCCGCCGCCGACTCCCAGGGCACCACGGCGGCCGGGAAGGCCCCGGGCTGCTTCTCCTGGCTCTCCTGGATCAGCCTGTGCATGGGGTAGCCCTTCCTGGGGAAAGCCACGTCGGCCGCCCTCAGAGCCCCGGCGGGGCAGAAGTCGTTGGCGCCGTCCCCCACGTAGAAGACGCGCTGGAACTCCACGTCCTCGCGCGCCCGCTCGGCCAGGTACTCCGCCAGGATCTTCCTCTTGCACATGTTGGCCGGGCACCGCGGGCACTTGTGGCTGTGGTAGGGCCCCAGCGTGAGCACGCCGCGGCGGTCGAAGCCGGCCGGGTTGCTGAAGACCTTGCGGAAGAGCGAGCGCACGCCGGCCGCGCGCAGCTTGGCCTCGATGCCGAAGGTGTTGGCGTCGGAGATGAGCACCAGCTCGAAGAGCTCCTGCTGCTTGGAGAGGAGCTGGAAGAGCTCGGCCATGCCGGGGGACAGCGGGATGTTCTCGTAGACGGCCCTGAGCTCGGCGGGGCGCACGCCCTGCTCGCCCAGGAAGGCCAGCACGCGCCGCATGTGCTCGTTGTAGGAGCCGCCGCGCGGGCTCTGCCGCAGCGGCTCCGGCAGCGCCCGGCCCCGCGCCACCGAGTCGTCGCTGTTCTCGTCCACGATGGTCTCGTCGAAGTCGAACACCAGCAGGAAACGGGGAGGCCGCGGGCCGGCCGTGCCCACGCCCTGCGGGGGACGGACAGACGGACATGGGTTACCGGGTGTGGGACAGAGAGACAGGGTGTTATTGGGGTGTGGGACAGACAGACCCCGCTGTCACTGGGGTGTGGGACAGACAGACCCCGCTGTCACTGGGGTGTGGGACAGACAGACCCCGCTGTCACTGGGGTGTGGGACAGACAGACCCCGCTGTCACTGGGGTGTGGGACAGACAGACCCCGCTGTCACTGGGGTGTGGGACAGACAGACCCCGCTGTCACTGGGGTGTGGGACAGACAGACCCCGCTGTCACTGGGGTGTGGGACAGACAGACCCCGCTGTCACTGGGGTGTGGGACAGACAGACCCCGCTGTCACTGGGGTGTGGGACAGACAGACCCCGCTGTCACTGGGGTGTGGGACAGACAGACCCCGCTGTCACTGGGGTGTGGGACAGACAGACCCCGCTGTCACTGGGGTGTGGGACAGACAGACCCCGCTGTCACTGGGGTGTGGGACAGACAGACCCCGCTGTCACTGGGGTGTGGGACAGACAGACCCCGCTGTCACTGGGGTGTGGGACAGACAGACCCCGCTGTCACTGGGGTGTGGGACAGACAGACCCCGCTGTCACTGGGGTGTGGGACAGACAGACCCCGCTGTCACTGGGGTGTGGGACAGACAGACCCCGCTGTCACTGGGGTGTGGGACAGACAGACCCCGCTGTCACTGGGGTGTGGGACAGACAGACCCCGCTGTCACTGGGGTGTGGGACAGACAGACCCCGCTGTCACTGGGGTGTGGGACAGACAGACCCCGCTGTCACTGGGGTGTGGGACAGACAGACCCCGCTGTCACTGGGGTGTGGGACAGACAGACCCCGCTGTCACTGGGGTGTGGGACAGACAGACCCCGCTGTCACTGGGGTGTGGGACAGACAGACCCCGCTGTCACTGGGGTGTGGGACAGACAGACACAGTGTTATTGGGTGTGGGACAGAGAGAGCTGGGTGTTACTGGGGTGTGGGACAGACAGAGCTGGGTATTATTGGGGTGTGGGACAGACAGACTCCACTGTTATTGGGTGTGGGACAGACGGACACGGGTTACCGGGTGTGGGACAGAGAGACAGGGTGTTATTGGGTGTGGGACAGACAGACCCCGCTGTCACTGGGGTGTGGGACAGACAGACACGGTGTTATTGGGTGTGGGACAGATGGACATGGTGTTATTGGGTGTGGGACAGACAGACACGGTGTTATTGGGTGTGGGACAGACAGACACGGTGTTACTGGGTGTGGGACAGACAGACCCCGCTGTCACTGCGGTGTGGGACAGACAGACATGGTGTCACTGGGGTGTGGGACAGACAGACCCCGCTGTCACTGGGGTGTGGGACAGACAGACACGGTGTCACTGGGGTGTGGGACAGACAGACCCCGCTGTCACTGGGGTGTGGGACAGACAGACCCCGCTGTCACTGCGGTGTGGGACAGACAGACCCCGCTGTCACTGCGGTGTGGGACAGACAGACATGGTGTCACTGGGGTGTGGGACAGACAGACCCCGCTGTCACTGCGGTGTGGTGGCACCGGCCGTTCCCTGTCCCTGCCAGGGGGACAAACCCCGCTGGTCCCTCGTGGCCACCCGGGGCCGCCTGAGCCCGGGCTGGTCAGCCCAGCCGGGCCGGGAGGGGTTAATCCCCGGGCCGGGCCCCAAATCCTGCCCGTAACGGGATCGCGGCTAATCCGGGCCGGAGGTCGCCGTGCCGAGAGGGGACAGCGCGTCCTGGGATCAGGGAATTTCCGGCCTTGGGAAAGAGCTCCGGGATCAGCGAGGCAGCCTTGGAGCCGGCACACCTGGGCTGGGACAGGGGGACACTGGGGGACAGCCCAGCCTGGGGGGGACAGGGGGACACGGGGGGACAGCTCGGACATGGGGGGACAGCCCAGCCTGGGGGGGACAGGGGGACACTGGGGGGGACAGCCCAGCTGGGGGACAGCTGGAACAGGGGGGGACAGCCCAGCCTGCCCCTCCAGTGCCACCTCGGGGACAGTGGGGACAGCTGAGACAGGGGGGGACAGCCCCTCCAGTGCCACCTCAGGGACAGGGGGCACAGCCCAGGGGCTCAGGTGGGATTTTAGGGCACAGCTCCCCAGGGAATGCCCCGTTCCCAAGGCCCCGGGGATGCCCAGGTGGGATTTTGGGGTGTCCTGCAGGGCCGGGAGCTGGGCTGGACGATCCTGGGGGATCCCTCCCGGCTCAGGGCATTCCATGAACCCCAAATCCAGCCGGCCTGGCGCTCCCCCCGCTCCCCTCAGCCCTTCCCGGCCGCTCCAGGGTGGAATTCTGCATTTTGGGGACCCGACCCCCCCTGCCCGGGAAGGGGAGGTGGCAGAGGTGACAGTGGCACTGACCTTAAACAGGCATGGCAGCCCCATGCCCTGGCAGCACCTCCTCATGTTGGCACCATCCCCGGGCCAGGGCTGCGGAGCACAGAAAAGAGGGAATTCCGTGAATCCCGGGGCTTTTCCCGGGGTATTCCCGAGTTCCGGAGCTTCTGTTCCAGGGTGGGGGAACTGCAGGAGAGCAGAGCTCGTTTGAAGCCGCTGATCCCTCCTGATTCCCCGTGAGGGCAGCGAGGGAACGGCAAAAAAAAAAAAAAAAAAAAAAAAATAAAAACGGGAAGAACAAAACAGGGAAAAAAAAAAAAACAAAAAACAAAAAAAAACACAAAGCGGAATAGCAAAAACATGGGAATGCCAAAAAAAAAAAAAAAACCCAAAAAAAAAAAAAAAAAAAGGAAGAACAAAACAGGGAAAAAAAAAAAACAAAAAACAAAAAAAAACAAAAAGCGGAATAGCAAAAACATGGGAATGCCAAAAAAAAAAAACAAACCCAAAAAAAAAAAAAAAACAACAACCCGGGAGCAGCGGCCCTGCTCCAAACCCCCCACCCCGATTTTCCCCCGGGTAATTCCCTTGGGGGGTTCCTTTGGATGGAGAGGTTCCCCGGGAATGCCACCGAGGCGGAATTCTGCCGACCCCTGGTGGTCCACGGCGAGGGGAAACCTCCCTGAAATCCCCGCGCCGGCCGGAAAATCGAATAGCAAAAACCTGGGAATGCCAAAAAAAAACAAACCCGGGAGCAGCGGCCCTGCTCCAGACCTCCCACCCCGATTTTCTCCCGGGTAATTCCCTTGGGGGGTTCCTTTGGATGGAGAGGTTCCCCGGGAATGCCACCGAGGCGGAATTCTGCCGACCCCTGGTGGTCCACGGCGAGGGGAAACCTCCCTGAAATCCCCGCGCCGGCCGGAAAATCGGGAATTCCCGCTGGGAATTGCGGCCGGGCACCGCGAGCTCGGCTCAGGAAGATCCCAGGATTTGTCACCGGCAGCGGGAAGGTGATTTTGTGGGGGACTGGGCTGGATCGGAGCCCGGCTCCCGGTTATTTTGGGCACAAACACGATCCGTGACTCGGCTGCAATAAAAACCCGCGGCTGCGGCGGCACCCGGCGCACGGAAACGGAGCCCGGGGTGGAACCTGCGCTGGAAATGTTGGAAAAATCCCTTTTTTGTGAGGCCTGGAACCACACGCTGGGTGTTTCCAAAAGCCACCAGAACTCGAGGGTTTATTTACAGACAGAACCTGGAGCCAAACAACGCCACAGCCAGGCTGGGAGCGGCTCCCAAAGCGGGAGAGACGGGTGAAAAAAAAAGGGATTTAACAGGAAAGAGGAACTGGAATTTTGGTCACTGCTTGGTCGCTGCCAGCAGCGAGGAAATAATTTGGGATGAAGCCTCAGGGAGAGTCTGTGGTGCTGGGAGGCAGAGAAAGAGCCCTGGGGACAAGCGGGGACACCGGGGTGGGGACGGCGTGGCCACGGGGAGTGACACTGCCCCAAAAACTCCTCTGGGCCCGAGGGGCTGGGGTTTGCGGGGTGAGAAAAGTTCCGGGGGCAGAATTTGGGGTTTTGGGGCAGGCGAGGTCAGGCAGAGCCCCTGGGGCTCCCCGGAGCCTCCCACGGAGCCGCCGGTCCCGGAGATTTGTCCCGGACGGCAAAACCCGGGCCGGGCTGGGCCGGAGCCCCCCGGGCTCCTTTGGGCTCATCCCGAGGAGCCGCCGGGACCAGCCCGGATTTCAGCACCGTTCCCGCAGCAATTCCCCCCTCCCGGCTCTCCCCGCTGCTCCAAATCCCGGGAAAAGTCAACCCGAGCCCCCCCGTCCCGGTGTGCCCCCTCCCCGGGCACGGCAGAGCCCCCGGGACGGGATTTCTGGGGACAAGGCTGAGCCGGGGACCAGCGGGACGATCCCGGCCCCGTCTCCCGGCAGGAGCTCGGAGCATCCCGAGCTTCGGCTGCAGGAGCTGCTGCCCCAAAAACGAGCCCCAAAACGACCCCAAACCTGTCCCAAACCCGGCCCCAAAACGGCCCCAAACCCGCCCCAAAACCGGCCCCAAAACCGCCCCAAAACGACCCCAAACCCGCCCCAAAAACGGCCCCAAACCCGCCCCAAACCCGCGAGGAACGGGCTCAAAGCAGGCCCCAGAAGCGGAGGCAGCGTTTTTTGGGGATCGAGTCCCGGGCGGGTTATTTCGGGATTGAAATCCTCTGGGGGCTGGGGGGGCTCCTGGCATCCCAAAAACCCCAAAATCCTCGGCACACGGGGAAGGAAATCCCACCCCAAGAAAGCAGAGCTCGGCCAGCGCGGGGGCTGCAATTCCCAGCTCCAGCCTGATCCCGCTGCCACGGGAGGGAAAAAATAATTTAGGAAATCTGCAGGACCTGAATTAACGCTCGGACACAGCCAGGCGGCCCCTGGGGGCAGCGGGAAGGGAAATCCCGGCCGGAGAAGGTCCCTAATTTTGGTCCGGGATAGGGAATAGGGAATGGAAATCCCGGCCGGAGAAAATCCCGAATTTTGGTCCGGGATAGGGAATAGGGAATAGGGAATGGAAATCCCGGCCGGAGAAAATCCCGAATTTTGGTGCGGGATGGGGCAGCGGGAATGGAAATCCCGGCCGGAGAAAATCCCGAATTTTGGTCCGGGATAGGGAATAGGGAATGGAAATCCTGGCCGGAGAAAATCCCGAATTTTGGTCCGGGATAGGGAATAGGGAATGGAAATCCCGGCCGGAGAAAATCCCGAATTTTGGTCCGGGATAGGGAATAGGGAATAGGGAATGGAAATCCCGGCCGGAGAAAATCCCGAATTTTGGTGCGGGATGGGGCAGCGGGAATGGAAATCCCGGCCGGAGAAAATCCCGAATTTTGGTGCGGGATGGGAAATCCCGGCGGGAGCGGATCCCAGATTTTGGTCCGGGATAGGGAAGGGGGAATGGAAATCCCGGTGGGAGCGCATCCCAGATTTTGGTGCGGGATGGGGCAGCGGGAATGGAAATCCCGGCCGGAGAAAATCCCGAATTTTGGTCCGGGATAGGGAATAGGGAATGGAAATCCCGGCCGGAGAAAATCCCGAATTTTGGTCCGGGATAGGGAATAGGGAATGGAAACCCTGGCCGGAGAAAATCCCGAATTTTGGTGCGGGGTGGGGCAGCCGCGAGCCCCTTCCCGCAAATAAAAGGGGCTCCCTTGGGAAGCGAAGCAGCCGCGTTTCCCCCCCAAAAAAAGCGCAGCCGGAGGGACGGGAAATAAACGGGATAATCGCTCGGGAATAAAAATTTCGACTCCCCGAGTTTGGGAAAACGCCTGGGAAATGCCGGGAATCGTTTCCCGGCGCGGTTTGTGGCCCGGCTTTCGGGGTTTTGGGGATCTCTGTCCCCAGAGCCGAGGGAGGAGCGGCCGGAGCCGCCCGCGGGTTCCCCGAAATCGGCCCCGCCGCGCTCGGTCCCGCCCCGGCACCGGGGAGGAGCGGCCGCGGGGAGCCGGCACCGGGACCCGCTCCCGGAGCCGGGAGGTGCAGGGATACCGGGACCGGGACCCGCTCCCGGAGCCGGGAAGTGCCGGGATACCGGGAGCCGGGACCGGGACCCGCTCCCGGAGCCGGGAAGTGCCGGGATACCGGGAGCCGGCACCGGGACCCGCTCCCGGAGCCGGGATACCGGGAGCATTCCCGGGACAGCGGCGCGCTGCCCCCGGCGCTCTCTGCCCGTGCCCGCTCTGGAGGTTTTTAACCCCAAAGCTGATTTTGGTGCGTGGGATATTCGGGTTTTTTTAACGAACTCGAACGCAACTTCTGCCCTCGAGCGAATTCCAGCTCCGGGGCAGAATTCCCGGGAAACCGAGCGGGGCGAACCCCGCTGCCCCAAAAGCCGCGAGGGGAGAACCGGGAGCGGGACACGATCCCGGTTCCAGCCGCCGCTGGAACTGAACCCGCCCCGCCGCGAAGCCCGGCTCCGAAAGAGGAGGAAATGCGGGAATTAACGGGAACCCCCGGGAAGGAGCGCCCCGAGCGGGTCCCGCCAGCCCCGGGTCCCCTCGTCCCCGCCCGGGCTCCGCTTTCCCCCCGAATTCCCGGGCACGGGCACGGGCAGAGCCCTCCGGGTCGCCTCGGGTGACGGGGCTGCTCCGGCTCTTCCCGGTGTTTGTTTTTCCTGCCGGGAATCCGCGGCGTTACCGCAGCCCCGGGCTCGGCCCCGGAACGCGGCGGTTCGGGGGATCCAGCCCCGGATCCCGGATCCCGCCGCGGACGTGGCCTCTCGCCCGGTGCCACCGGGCCGGCAGCGGCTCCGGTACCGGCACAGCCCCTTCCCGAGCTCCGCGGCTCCTCCCGGTACCGGCGGGGCTGAATCGCGGCCGCTCCGGTCCCGGTGGCACTTCCCGGTACCGGCAGGGTCCAACGGGGTGGGGACCGCCCCGGTACCGGCAGGGTCCAACCGAATCAGGACCCCCCCTGTACCGGCAGGAGCTGCCCCGGTACCGGCAGGGTCCAACAGTATCGGTACCCCCCGGTACCGGCACCATCCGCTCGGCTCCCGGCAGGATCCCGCCGGGTGGAGACCCCCGGTACCGGCACCATCCGATCCCGGCAGGGTCCAGCCGGGGGGAAACCCGCCGGTACCGGCAGCAGCCGTTGCGGATCCGGCATCTCCCGGTACCGCCGCGGTGCCGCCTCTCGCCTCCTTACCGGGTCGGAACCTGCGGGGAGCGCCCGGTCCGGCCCGGTGCCGGAGAGTGCGGGGGCAGCCCGGGCTCGGGGCCGCTCCGGGGCCGCTCCGGGGCCGCTCCGGGGCCGGTGCCGCCGCCGGCGCTGCCGCGAGCGCGGCCCCTTTAAAGCGACGCCACCGGGGCCGCGCGGAGCCGCCGCAGTGCTCCGACGTCATCGCCCGCACAGCCAATAGCGGCGCAGCTTCCCCGCCGCGGAGGGGCGGGGTCAGAACAGACCACGCCTCTTTTCCGAGGGGAGGGGGGAGCTCCCGCGCGGGTCCCGCCGCCCCCGCCCCGCTGCCAAAAGTTCCCAAATCGGGAAAAACCAACCCAAGGCCGGGCTCCCCCCGCCCCCGGTGACCGCTCCGGGCTTGTGTAACCGGAGCCGTCCGGGGGGGGAGGCTCTGCCCCCGGAGCCGAGCGAGAAAAACGCCCGAATTGTCCCCAAAATGCGGGCGGGGCGGCGCGGCCGCGGCGGGCGGGGTGCCCGCGCTAATTTTGGGAGCCGGGCCGGGAATTGCAGGGTGGCAGCGCCGCCGGCTCCGCGCCCCGCCCGGGCCCCGCCGCTATCGCGGGCCCGCAGGAGCCGCCGGGATAAAAATACCGGGCAGCGCCCCGGGGCCACCGGGGACAGGCGGGCTCGGGGCTTTTCGCTGCTTTTTAATTAAATTTTAATTGTAAAGGCTGCAGGGACGGCAAGGCCGGGAGGAGCGGCGGGGGTCCCGCTGCCCGAGCCCGAACGTCGGGATTTTGCTCGTTTGGGGGAAAATTGCGGCGCGGAGCAGAGCCCGGAGCGCTCCGGGGACCTGCCCTGGGGACCGTGCCCCGCCGGCCCCTCTGGGAATGCTGCAGGGAATGCTGCAGGGAATTCTGGCAGGGAATGCTGTGAGGGAATCGTGTGAGGGAATCGTGTCAGGGAGTTCTGTCAGGGAATGCTGCAGGGAATTCTGTCAGGGAATGCTGCAGGGAATTCTGCAGGGAATTCTGTGAGGGAATTCTGGCAGGGAATTCTGTTAGGGAGTTCTGTCAGGGAATGCTGTCAGGGAATGCTGTGAGGGAATGCTGCAGGGAATGCTGCAGGGAATTCCGGCAGGGAATTCTGTGAGGGAATTCTGCAGGGAATTCTGGCAGGGAATCCTGTGAAGGAATCCTGTCAGGGAATTCTGTTAGGGAGTTCTGTCAGGGAATTCTGTCAGGGAATTCTGTCAGGGAATGCTGCAGGGAATTGTGTTAGGGAGTTCTGTCAGGGAATGCTCTGTCAGGGAATTCTGTTAGGGAGTTCTGTCAGGGAATGCTGCAGGGAATTCTGGCAGGGAATGCTGCAGGGAATCGTGTGAGGGAATCGTGTGAAGGAATCCTGTCAGGGAATCCTGTCAGGGAATTCTTTTAGGGAATTCTTTTATCCCCTCCTCAGCCTCTCCCGGGACATTTCCCCCTCTGGAGCCGCTCCGAGCGGGAGAATCCATCTTTTAGGGAATTCTGTCAGGGAATCCTGTCAGGGAATTCTTTTAGGGAATTCTTTTTTCCCCTCCTCAGCCTGGGACTCTCCGCCTCTCCCGGGACATTTCCCCCTCTGGAGCCGCTCCGAGCGGGAGAATCCAGAGGGGGAATTCCCCAGGGACTGCTGCCCCTTCCCACCGGGACCCAGCGGGGCAAAGACCACACCGGGATCACCCGGACCATCCCGGGCTCATCCCGAGCTCATCCCGGACCCATCCCGTGCTCATCCCGGACCCATCCCGTGCTCATCCCGGATCATCCTGTGCTTATCCCGGGCTCATCCCGGACCCATCCCGGACCATCCCGGGCTCATCCCGGACCCATCCCGGACCCATCCCGAGCTCATCCCGGGCCATCCCGGGCCATGGCAGCCCCGGGCTTTGGCACGGACGCTCCCGGTGATTTTCCACTGCGGAGCAGCCGAGGACAGAGCCCGGGGCGGGCGCTCCTGGCGGCCCCGGGAGCCTTTCCCAGCCCCTGGAATCCCGCAGGAGCCGGGCCAGCCCCGAGCGGCCCCGGGAGCCTTTCCCAGCCCCTGGAATCCCGCAGGAGCCGGGCCAGCCCCGCCGGCTCCAGGTTTGTCCCGGATTTTGGGATTGCGGCAGCTCCGCCGCCCTCTCCCGGCTCCGCCTCCCCAAAATGCGGCTCGGGGTAAATCCCAAACTCCCGGGTTAAATCCCAAACTCTGGGTTTAAATCCCAAAGCCTCAGGTTAAATCCCAAACCCTCGGGGTAAATCCCAAACTCTCGGTTAAATCCCAGACTCCCGTGGTAAATCCCAAACTCCCGGGTCAAATCCCAAACTCTCGGTCAAATCCCAAACTCTTGGTTAAATCCCAAAGTCCCGGGGTAAATCCCAAACTCCCGGGGTAAATCCCAAACTCCCAGTTAAATCCCAAACTCCCGGGGTAAATCCCAAAGTCCCGGGGTAAATCCCAAACTCCCGGGTAAATCCCAAACTCCCGGGGTAAATCCCAAACTCCCGGGGTAAATCCCAGACTCCCGGGGTAAATCCCAAACTCCCGGGGTAAATCCCAAACTCTCAGTTAAATCCCAAACTCCCGGGGTAAATCCCAAAGCCTCAGGAAGGAATTCCCAGGAAAAGCACGCAGCTCCGGGGGCGCCGAGCCTGGGTTCCACCGAGGAATAAAATGGGAAAAAGGCAAAATAAATGGGGACAAACAAGGGAAAGTAAAGTGGGAAAATGAAGCAAAATAAGACAGGGGAAAAAGCAAAATGAGATGGGGAAACAAAGGGGGAAAGCAGCAAAATAAAATAGGAAAAGAAAGCAAAATGAAACGGGGAAATAAAGCAGAAGTGACAGGTGCAGAAAGGACAAACCCCTTGGAATTTCCCATCCCTGTGGAATTCTGTGGGTGCAGCAAAAATGGAAATCGAAGGTTTTAAGAAACCACAACAAATCCCAGCCTTGAATTTCCTGCTTTTAAACCAAATTTCCCCATTTTCCTGGGTTTTTTTTTTCCTTTGGAAATGATCCCACCCTGCCCTCCCAGCATCTCACACCACGGCCAGACCGGGAAGAGGGGTTGGAATTTTTAATCTTCTTCCACAGAAAGGAAGTTCATAAATTCTCAGAATGATCCGATACAGAGCGGAGCTGAAGAGCAGGAAAAAAAAAAACCCCAAAAACCATCCCAGATTCTGGAATTCTTGGAAGAGCAGCCTGGAATGCTGGGGGATTTTTTGAGGAGGAAAAACGGCTTTGAAAAACCTGGAACGCAAATTATTGGTGGCTGATTCTGGGGTTTTTCAGCATTTAAAAATCGGATTATCCCGGATTATCCTGAGCAGGAAATTGTGGCACCACTGCAGGCTGCAGGGGGGAACGCAGAGAATTCCAGGGAATTGCAACAGTTGGGAAATCAGGATTGGAATTTTTTCCTGCCAGAGGGGAAGAGGGGGATTTAAATATTCTGGAGGAAATGGTTAAAAAAACGTCATTTCTTTCATCAGGAAGGGCTTCCAGCTCAGCCAAAAACGAGGGGTTTGGGCCCAAAACGACCCTGAAATTTCCAAAGTTGTGGAAAACCCAACTCTGGGATTAGGAAAAGGCTGGGAAAACATCCAGGGAGGAGCAAATTCCAGAGGTTTTCCCAAGGCAGCTTTGTCCTGGGGGAGAATTCTGCCTTTTCTGGCTGAAAGTGAATCCCAAAATCCACGAGCAGGGCAGAGCTCCCCGTGGGGTCTCCGGGTTGGAGTTTGGTGGGATTGGGGTGGGAAAAGCAGCACAAAGAGGAGGAATTCCCAGGAATTCCCAGGAATTTGGGATTTTCTGGGCACTGCTCTGGCAGGGGGAGTGAATTCCTGGATCCGGGAGGGGGGGGAAATCCAACCTGAGGGGTCCCAAGGGATCCCAGCCCCTGGAATGGGGCAATTTCCAGGGGAACGGCTCCAGCTCCCCATCCTGGAGCTGAGTTTGCCCAAAATCCCCAAATCTGGCCCTAAAAACCATCCTGGATTCCTGGGATGGAGCTGCCCGGGAACGTCCAGGGCTGTGGGACAGCTTCAGCCCAAAATCTCCCAAAAAACAGGCAGGAGCTCCTGGGAATTCTGGGAATTCCCTGTCCCTGATCCTCCCCTTGGAATTCCCAAATTCCCTGATCCCACTGCATTCCCCTATCAGGAATTCCTGGAATTCCCTGATCCCACTGCATTCCCCTCAGGAATTCCGAATTCCTGGATCCAGGGGGGGAAAATCCAACCTGAGGGGTCCCAAGGGATCCCAGCCCCTGGAATGGGGCAATTTCCAGGGGAACGGCTCCAGCTCCCCATCCTGGAGCTGGGTTTGCCCAAAATCCCCAAATCTGGCCCTAAAAACCATCCAGGATTCCTGGGATGGAGCTGCCCGGGAACGTCCAGGGCTGTGGGACAGCTTCAGCCCAAAATCTCCCAAAAAACAGGCAGGAGCTCCTGGGAATTCCCTGTCCCTGATCCTCCCCTTGGAATTCCCAAATTCCCTGATCCCACTGCATTCCCCTATCAGGAATTCCTGGAATTCCCTGATCCCACTGCATTCCCCTCTCAGGAATTCCTGAATTCCCTGATCCCACTGCATTCCCCTCTCAGGAATTCCCAAATTTCCTAATCCCTCTGCATTCCCCTCACAGGAATTTCAGGAATTCCCTGCTCCCTCTGTATTCCCCTCTCAGGAATTCCAGGAATTCCCTGCTCCCTCTGCATTCCCCTCAGGAATTCCCAAATTCCCTGCTTCCACTGCATTACCCTCTCAGGAATTCCAGGAATTCCCTGCTCCCACTGCATTCCCCTCTCAGGAATTCCCGAATTCCCTGCTCCCACTGCATTCCCTGCTCCCAGGAATTCCTGAATTTCCTGCTCCCACTGCATTCCCCTCTCAGGAATTCCAGGAATTCCAGAGCAGCCCCGGATTTATCCCTAAACTCAGCGATCCCAGGAAAAGCCACCGAATTCCCGCCTGACTCGGGTCCGTCACCTCCCCCTGCTGGCACATCCTGCTTTTTCCCGGACTTCCCATTCCCAAATTCCCCCAATTTGCAGGACAAAATCTCCCTCCCGATAAAATTCCATCCCTTCCTGGATCCACATCCAGCAGGAATATCTGACCCCGACGGCTGAAGAGAAACCGGGAAAAGGGAAATGAAAAATTTTAAAAAAAGAACAAAAATAACCCAAAAAATCCCTAAAAAATAAATTAAACGCAGAAATCGCCGCTGGTTTGGGGGTGACTTTTCCAGAAACCTCTGGGTTTGTTTTTTTTTTCCCTCTCTTCTCCGAAGCACCTTGTAGTCGTGGGGTTGGGGAATTTGGGAAAAGCATTTTTGAGGAATCACATTGGGGCTGATTATAAAAATTTCTCTATTGTACAACAGAGGTGCAGCTACACTGAAAAAATTACACCGTTTATGGAAATACAATTATTATTATTATTATCATCATCATCAATTTTTTTTTTTTTTTGCTTTTTTTTGTTTTAGAAACAGACTCTACTAAATAGGATCTATACAAAAAACCTCTAAAATAATTTCTGTAGTAAAATAAAGAAGTGTGTTAGGAGAGCTACACAAAAACAACGGGAGGGGTGGGTTGGTTTTTTTTTTTTCTTTTTTCCTTTTTGTTTTTTTTTTTTTTTTGCTTTTCTGGGTGAATGCTCCGAGCTCGGGGTGCTGAAAGGAATCATTACGTACACAGTGATCATTAATGCTCTGTATTAATTAACTCACAGCCTTTCCCATTAGTACAAAGAGCCCGGGCCCGCCTCCTCTTTGAGGAGAGGGCCAGGATATAAAAGCCAAGCAAACCTCGTCAGCTGATATGAAATTAGAAAATTCCACCAGGCTCGGGAGCCGGGATTTAGAAAAGTCACCGGGAAAACACAAATTTGGGGCGTTTCAGTCCTGGGGGTCCTCGAGAGGGGACCCGGGGGGTGGGGCAGAGCTCGGCCCCGGAGCGGGGTGGGGTGGTGGGAGGGAGGATCCCAGAGCCAGGATCCCAGAGCTGGATCAGATTCCAGAGCCAGACGGGATCCCAGAGCTGGATCAGATCCCAGAGCTGGATTCTGGATCCCAGGTCCCTGACCCCAGCCCGTGTCAGTGCGGCTGCCCTTGTCCAGGTGCCGCAGGAAGCCATGGCTGTGCCCGTGCCCACATCAACTCAATCCCACCCCAGCTCCCAGTCCAGCTCCCAAACCTGGATTATCCCAGCTCCCAAACCTGGGTGCCAGCCGGTGTCAGTGCGGCTGTGCCGGGCTGCCCTTGTCCAGGTGCTGCAGGAAGCCATGGCTGTGCCCATGCTCACAGCAGCTCAATCCCATCCCAGATCCCATCCCAGCTCCCAAACCTGGATTATCCCAGCTCCCAAACCTGGATATCCCAGCTCCCAAACCTGGATATCCCAGCTCCCAAACCTGGGTGCCAGCCGGTGTCAGTGCGGCTGTGCCGGGCTGCCCTTGTCCAGGTGCCGCAGGAAGCCGTCGCCGCCGTGGCCGTGGCCGTGCCCGCGGTGGTTCAGGGGCTCGCTCTTGAACAGGGCGGGGGGCGGCGGCAGGTGGGGCACGGGGGGCACGGGCAGGTGCTGGGCGTGGTGCCCGTGGGGGTGGTGCCCGTGGGGCGGCAGGGCCAGGGCGCCGTAGGGGTGCGGGACGGGGCGCGGGGGCGCGGCCGGGCCCAGCCCCAGCGCGGCGGCGGNNNGGAATTGGGCGGCGGCGGCGGCCGGAGGGGCCGGGCAGGGCGCGGGCAGCAGCGCGGGGCCGGCGGGGCCGGGGCCGGGGCTGGTGCCAGGGCTGGTGACGCGGAAACATTTCTCCTTGTGCGCCTTGAGCATGTTGGAGAAGCGGAAGCGCTGGCCACACACGTCGCACGGGTACGGCTTCTCGCCCGTGTGCGTGCGCCGGTGCCGCTTCATGTTGGGCCGGCTGGTGAAGCTCTTGCCGCAGATCTCGCAGATGAAGGGCTTCTCTCCTGCCCGACACACACAGAGAGAGGGGGGTCAGAGACCCCGGGAACCCCCTGAGCCATGGAGAGCCCCTGAGCCACGGAGAGCCCCTGAGCCATGGAGAACCTGGGAAAATCACCTGAGCCATGGAGAGCCCCTGAGCCATGGAGAGCCCCTGAGCCATGGAGAGCCCCTGAGCCATGGAGAGCCCCTGAGCCATGGAGAGCCCCTGAGCCATGGAGAGCCCCTGAGCCATGGAGAGCCCCTGAGCCATGGAGAGCCCCTGAGCCATGGAGAGCCCCTGAGCCATGGAGAGCCCCTGAGCCATGGAGAGCCCCTGAGCCATGGAGAGCCCCTGAGCCATGGAGAGCCCCTGAGCCATGGAGAGCCCCTGAGCCATGGAGAGCCCCTGAGCCATGGAGAGCCCCTGAGCCATGGAGAACCCCATGGGAAAATCATCTGACCCCTGAGAGAACCCCTGAAAAAAGTCACCTGAGCCGTGGAGAATGTCCTGAGCCATGGAGAACTCCTGAGCCATGGAGAACCCCCTGAGCCATGGAGAATGCCCTGGGAAAATCCCCTCATGCATGGAGAACCCCCTGGGAAAATCACCGGATTCATGGAGAACGCTGGGAGATCCCCTGAGCCCTGCAGAACTCCTGGGAAAATCACCTGAGCCCTGGTAGAACCCCCTGGAAAAATCACCTGAGCCCTGGGAAAATCACCTGAGCCCTGGGAAACACCACTGCCTTTATGGATCAACGGGGGTTTAGGAAATCCCAGCTCCCCTCAGGGTTTGGGTTTAAAAGGCTCTGAAATCCTGGCTCAGGTTGGGTTTGGGGCCAAAGGCTCTGAAATCCCTGCTCAGGTTGGGTTTAAAAGGCTCTGAAATCCCTGCTCAGGAACCCCCTGAGCCATGGAGAACCCCCTGAGCCATGGAGAATGCCCTGGGAAAATCCCCTCATGCATGGTGAACCCCCTGGGAAAATCACCGGATTCATGGAGAACGCTGGGAGATCCCCTGAGCCCTGCAGAACTCCTGGGAAAATCACCTGAGCCCTGGGAAAATCACCGGATTCATGGAGAACGCTGGGAGATCCCCTGAGCCCTGCAGAACTCCTGGGAAAATCACCTGAGCCCTGGTAGAACCCCCTGGAAAAATCACCTGAGCCCTGGGAAAATCACCTGAGCCCTGGGAAACACCACTGCCTTTATGGATCAACGGGGGTTTAGGAAATCCCAGCTCCCCTCAGGGTTTGGGTTTAAAAGGCTCTGAAATCCTGGCTCAGGTTGGGTTTGGGGCCAAAGGCTCTGAAATCCTGGCCCAGTTTGGGTTTAGAAGTCTAGGAAATCCTGGTTCAGGCTGGGTTTGGGGCCAAAGGCTCTGAAATCCCTGCTCAGGTTGGGTTTAAAAGGCTCTGAAATCCCTGCTCAGGTTGGGTTTAAAAGGCTCTGAAATCCTGGCTCAGGCTGGGTTTAAAAGGCTCTGAAATCCTGGCTCCCCTCAGGATTAAAAGGCTCTGAACTCCTGGCTCAGGTTGGGTTTGGGGTCCAAAGGCTCTGAAATCCTGGCTCCCCTCAAGATTTGGGGCCAAAGGCTCTGAAATCCTGGCTCAGGTTGGGTTTAAAAGGCTCTGAAATCCTGGCTCAGGCTGGGTTTAAAAGGCTCTGAAATCCTGGCTCAGGCTGGGTTTAAAAGGCTCTGAAATCCTGGCTCAGGTTCAGTTTGGGGCCAAAGGCTCTGAAATCCTGGCTCCCCTCAGGATTTGGGGCCCCAAGGCTCGGGCCAGGGGCTCCCCCAGACCAAAACCCCGGCAATAATTCCCATTTCCCCACAGGGAACCCCAGCTCCGACTGTCACACCAGAACACAAACAGATCCACGGCGGGGAACGAAGCTCTCCCAGCCGCTGTGCCAGCGGGAGAACACCCCAAATCCCGAGGGAATCCCGAGGGAATCCCGTGGGAACGGCCGGCAGGGACCCCCCCAGCCCTCACCAGTGTGGGTTTTCATGTGCTCGTCGAAGTACTGCTTCATGTTGAAGTCCTTGCCACACCACTGGCACATGAACTGCTTGTGGCCAATGTGGATGCTCATGTGGGAGCGCAGCTGGTACTTGTACTGGAACCTCTCGTCGCAGTTCTGCCGGGAAAAAATGGGAATGTCGGGGCTTTGGGAAGCTGGGAATGAGCCACGGAGGGGAGGGGAGGGAGGTGGGGCTGGGCAGAAACAGCTCAGGGAAAGAAGGGATGGAAGGGAGGGACTGAGGGATGGAAGGAAGGGAGGATCGGGAGGGGGAAGGGCTGGAATTGGGAGGGGAAAGCTGGAATTGGGAGGGGAAAGCGGGAATTGGGAGGGGAAAGCTGGAATGGAGAGGGGAAAGCTGGAATGGAGTGGGGAAAGCTGGAATTGGGAGGGGAAAGCTGGAATTGTGAGGGGAAAGCTGGAATTGGGAGGGGAAAGCTGGAATTGGGAGGGGAAAGCTGGAATTGGGAGGGGAAAGCTGGAATTGGGAGGGGAAAGCTGGAATGGAGTGGGGAAAGCTGGGATTGAGTGGAAAAAGCTGGAATTGTGTGGGGAAAGCTGGAATTGTGAGGGGAAGGATGGAATTTTGAGGGGAAAGCTGGAATGGAGTGGGGAAAGCTGGAATGGAGAGGGGAAAGCTGGAATTGTGTGGGGAAGGATGGAATTGTGAGGGGAAAGCTGGAATTGTGAGGGGAAGGATGGAATTTTGAGGGGAAAGCTGGAATGGAGTGGGGAAAGCTGGAATTGTGAGGGGAAGGATGGAATTGTGAGGGGAAAGCTGGAATTGTGAGGGGAAAGCTGGAATTGTGAGGGGAAAGCTGGAATTGGGAGGGGGAAGCTGGGATTGTGAAGGAAAAGCTGGGATTGTGAAAGAAAAACTGGAATTGAGAGGGAAAAGCTGGGATTGTGAGGGAAAAGCTGGAATTGAGTGGAAAAAGCTGGAATTGTGAGGGCAAGCCTGGCAGGGATGGGGTTATTCCAGGAAAACGCGTTTCTGTGCGTGTCCCGCTCTCTCTCCACTAGAGGACTCTGCTTCCCTCCAAACAGCAGCTCCCCAGGGTTTTATCCCATGGATTTATCCCATGGATTTATCCCATGGATTTATCCCCCCTCAGTTCCCTCCAAAGACCCCTGGTGAGGGAACTGTGCTGGCACCACCCCAAAACTTCCCAAACTTTGATGGAACTGCCCTTAATTTCCACCCCATCCAAGGCCATTCCCATTTCCTGGGCACACTCCCAGGGATTTATCCCATGGATTTAACCCCTCAATCCCTCCAGAGACCCCTGGGGAGGGAGCTGTGCTGGCACCACTCCTCGGTGACTGGAATCCCCAAATTCTGATGGAACCGCCCCTCATTCCCACCCCACCCAAGGCCATTCCCACCTCCCGGGAGCATTCCCAGGATTTCCCCCAGGGACTTCCCCCATGGATTTAACCCCTCAATCCCTCCAGAGACCCCTGAGGAGGGACCTGGGCTCGTGATTCCCCTATGCAGAGAATTCCCAAACTCTGATGGAACCGCTCCTCGTTCCCACCCCACCCAAGGCCATTCCCACCCCACCCAAGGCCATTCCCACCTCCCGGCAGCATTCCCAGGATTTCCCCCAGGGATTTCCCCCATGGATTTAACCCCTCAATCCCTCCAGAGACCCCTGGGGAGGGACCTGGGGATCAGCACTTGGTGATTGGAATCCCCAAACTCTGATGGAACCGCTCCTCGTTCCCACCCCATCCAAGGCCATTCCCACCTCCAGGGACCATTCCCAGGATCTCACACATCGATTTATCCCATGGATTTAACCCCTCAATCCCTCCAGAGACCCCTGAGGAGGGACCTGTGCTGGGATCAGCACTTGGTGATTGGAATCCCCAAACTCTGATGGAACCGCTCCTCGTTCCCACCCCATCCAAGGCCATTCCCACCTCCCGGGAGCATTCCCAGGATCTCCCCCTGGGATTTGCCCGGGGGAATTCCCTCACCTCGCAGCGGAAGGGCTTCTCCCCCGAGTGCTGCAGGGAGTGCACCTTGAGGGACATGCTGCGCTTGAAGGACTTGCCGCAGGTCTCGCAGGTGAAGGGCATGTCCTTGGTGTGGGCTGCGGCAAAGACAGGGGCGTCACGGGGGGAAAATCCAGGGAAAACCGCCGGGGGGGGGCGTATTCCCGAGGATTCCAGGCAGCAGGAATAGTCCTGAGCGTTCCTGGAAGCACAGGCTGGTCCTTGTTCAGCACGGGGGATTTGGGGTGGAGATGGAGCTCGGTCAGCTGGGGCTGGCTGGGTTTTAGGGAATTCCCGAATTTTGGGGTTGGGAGGATCCTGAAGATCCATTCCCAGCCCTGCCGGGGCAGGGACACCTCGAGCTATCCCAGAGCTATCCCAGCACGTCCAGGGATGGAATTTATCCAGTGTGAGAGGAACCACACAGAAACTCAGGGGAGGGGCTGATCCTGACGGGTGGAAAAGCAGGAATTGTCTGGGAAAAGAGCTTCCCTGGGAATTCCGCGGAATTCCAGCCCCTCCCCACGCTCCCAGCCAGGAATCCCATCCCAAATCCCACCCCATCCTCCTCTCCCCCAGGGATCCCTGGATTACCATCCCTGCTCCCAGGAGTTTCCCCCTTTAATTGAACAGGAGATGAACCAACCAATGCCTGAATAATAATTATTGTTATTATTATTAAAAAATTACTAATTAATTATTAACAATAATTCTAATAATAATATTTCTGTCCCTCCATGCCTTGTCCCAGTCCCGCCCGTTTCAGCCCCGCGGGCTCCAGCCCGTGCCCGGCCACTCACCGACCATGTGTTTGCGCACGTGGGCCATGGTGTAGAACTTCTTCTCGCAGATCTCGCAGGAGAACTTCTTCTCGGCGTAGCCGTGCACGATCTTGATGTGCTCGTGCAGAGACCAGAGCTTCTTGAAGGATTTGTTGCAGGACACGCACTGCGGGGACACAGAGGGAGCGGGGTGAGGGGTAAGCCAGGTTTGGATAAAAAAAACACGACAAAAATGGTGAAAAAGGCGACTGAGAGTGTGGATTTTGGGGTTACAGCTGAATAGAGGCAGTAAAAATGTGGATTTTGGGGTTACAGCTGAATAGAGGCTCTGAGAGTGTGGATTTTGGGGTTACAGCTGAATAGAGGCAGTACAAATGTGGATTTTGGGGTTACAGCTGAATAGAGGCAGTAAAAATGTGGATTTTGGGGTTACAGCTGAATAGAGGCAGTACAAATGTGGATTTTGGGGTTACAGCTGAATAGAGGCTCTGAGAGTGTGGATTTTGGGGTTACAGCTGAATAGAGGCAGTACAAATGTGGATTTTGGGGTTACAGCTGAATAGAGGCTCTGAGAGTGTGAAAAAAAGGAGATTTTGGGGTTACACCTGAATAGAGACAGTAAAAATGTGGATTTTGGGAATACACCTGAGGGAATGGAGGCAGTTATAAAAAGGGATTTTGGGGTTACACCTGAATAGAGACAGTAAAAATGTGGATTTTGGGAATACACCTGAGGGAATGGAGGCAGTTATAAAAAGGGATTTTGGGGTTACACCTGAATAGAGGCAGTACAAATGTGGATTTTGGGATTTACACCTGAAGGGAATGGAGGCAGTGAGAATGTGGATTTTGGGATTTACAGCTGAGGGAATGGAGGCAGTGCTGGTGTTCTGGTGCCTCCTGATCCCAAAATCCAACAGAGGGGGGGGGGGCACAGGGACAGCTCCACAGGCCCTGGGGCTGCTGGGCTGGGAGAGTCCAGCCCTGGAGAGGGAAAATCCAAACCCTGGAGAGGGAAAATCCAAACCCTGGAGAGGGAAGGATCCAACCCCTGGAGAGGGAAGGATCCAAACCCTGGAGAGGGAAAATCCAAACCCTGGAGAGGGAAGGATCCAAACCCTGGAGAGGGAAGGATCCAAACCCTGCCAGTGAGAAGTACCCAAACTCTTGGAGTGGGAAAATCCAAACATTTCCAGTGAGAAGGATCCAAACCCTTGGAGAGGGAGGATTGAAACCCTTGGAGAGGGAGGAATCTAAACCCTTGGAGTGGGAAAATCCAAACCCCCGGAGTGGGAAGGATCCAAACCCTTGGAATGGAAAAATCCAAACCCTTGGAGTGGGCAAATCTAAACATTTTCAGTGAGGAGGACCCAAACCCTTGGAGCAGAAAGAATCCAGACCCTTGGAACGGGAAGAATCCAAACTCTTGGAGTGGGAAAATCCAAAACCTTGGAGAGGGAAGATCCAAACCCGTGGTGCAGAAAAAAAAAATCCAAACCCTTGGGGTAGAAAGAATCCAAACTCTGGAGAGGGAAGGATCCAAACCCTTGGAGCAGAAAGAATCCAAACATTTTCCAAACCCTTGGAGTGGGAAAATCCAAACTCCTGGAGAGGGAAGAACCCAACAGAGCTGGAGGAGGCCGACACCACCAAATTCCCAAAGCCCCATCCAGCCCTTCCTGCCCCCCCAAATCCAGGTGGGGCCACTCCAGGCTCTGCCATCCCTCTGGATCTCCGTGGGAAGCAGCTTCCATCCTGCTGGACACTCTGGGATCAGCTCCTGGAGGAAATCCAGGCACCAGCTCCTCCCTCTGCGCTCTCTTCGTTCATCAAAGGTCCAAAGTCACACCGGGGGCTGAGAATTCCTTCCCAAAACTCCCGTGGAATGTCCGGGCAATCAGGATTTCAGGCAGCTCTTCCTTTTCCCGGCAGCTCTTCCCAAAAAAACTTCACGTGTAAAAATTCCCATGTGGAAATTCCAGCTGGAAATCCCAGAGGAAACCAAATCTTCTTCACCACGGAGGGCACGGGGAGGAAGTGTGCCTTGTCCTGGGGTTTTTTGGGATGTCTGGGGTTTTTGGGATACCTGCACTTCCCAGCCCATCAATTCCCCATCAGTCAGAAGGGCTGGGTGCTGATTAATGAGCAGGTTAATCAGTTTGGAATGTTTCCTCTCCCCTGCAGGTTTGGGAATTCTGGGATCCCCTCCGGAAAAAAAAAATTCCTGCAGAGCAAAGAAATTCCAAGGAACCACCCCCAAAATCCTTGGATTTACAGAGAAAGGAGCCCTTGGAGGGGCCAAGCCACACCAGAATTCAGGACTGGAACACCAACACGGAGAGAGGAACCACACAGAGCTCAAGGTGACCACAGAAATCCCCTGAAGGTGCTGACTGTGATGGCTGAAAAAGCAGAAATTACCTGGAAAAACAGATTTATTCCATCCCCAGGATGAAGAACTGGGAGGAGCCAGCCTTGATTTTCATTTCAATCCCACATTAAACCACTTTTATTCCAGGGCAAAGCTCCCCCTCGACACATTTAACCCTGAACCGAGGGAAATTTTGATTTTCCCTCAATCCTGTTGATAATTGGAATAAAAACACAGCAAAAGGCAGCTGGAAAACACATCCCAAAGGCAGGACAGAACAAGAATTGCTGGATTTGTTCTTGGATCTTGAGGACCTGAAGGTGACTCTCAGTGCTGCTGGCACCAGGAGGTTTCTGGACCAGATTCCTCTGGATTTAAATCGTCATTTCTATAATTTCTCATTTTTTATCACTTTTGGACACATATGTACATTGATACAGGATATTTCACCATTTTATGTGTTCAAAATATTCACAAATTCCTTCTTAAATTTTAATTCCTGCTCTAATTCCTTTATTTTTTAATTCCTGCTTAAATTTTATGCTGTGAATGAACCCCCTGCATGCTGGGGCACCTCTTAAATTCCCATTTAAATCCTCCCTGCTGCACTGAACTTTTAAAATATTTCTTTGAAAAGCAGCAAAAATTAAATTCATATTAATAAATCCTTCCTTGAGCTGAAACTTAAGGGGAAAAAAAAACAACCCAGAGTTACACAGAGAGCTTGGAAAAGAGAAATTACAATAAATATTCCACATCTCCCACACAGTGGGAGCTGAGGATCAACCCAGTTCAGCATTGAAAGCAAACAAACAATGAAAAATATTCAATTCTTCTGCTCAAACTCTCACACAAAAAAAACCCCTCCTTGCCTTACAAATTCCAGCTGCCCAAAAATCCAAGCGGAGCCGCTGCTGCTGGCAGGATTGCAGCAGGAGGTGGGGGAAAATAAGGCCAAAAAAGCAGATTTGGGGTGCCAGGGAAAGCAGCAGTGGCACAGAGCTGCCAGGCACAAACCCCAGCGGGACCAGAAACTCTGGAGCTCTTGCCACAGCTCCCAAAATTTCCCAGCAGAGCTGCTCCTCCCATTGCTGGGGGAAATCAGGGCTGCTGTTGGGGAGGAAAAAAATGGCAATTTTTGTGTCTTCGGGGAGATTTGCTGGGGTTTCCTGCTGGAAGGGGCAGGCTCGGGGTGCAGTGCTGAATTCCAGCCCTTCAGAAACACTCCGGGAGTTCCCGTGGTCTCAGAGGGGTTTAAACCCCGCTTTAAGCCCAGCTCAGATCCTGGCTCCACTGCTGCCTCTGGGATCTCAGAGAATTCCCATTCCAGGGAATTCCTGCAATTCTGTTTCCCCCTGGAAAGCTCACCTGGCTTCCCACGCTGTGGGACTGCATTTCAGCACACGGAAACCCCTGGAATTCTAAACCCAGTGGGAGCTGCGGGTGCTCGGCAGGAGGAGGAGGAGGAGGAGGATTTACCACAGAACTTCAGATTTTTGGGACCAGTTACTCCAGATCCTGACCCTGCTAAAGCAGCTTTGTGCTCCCAACTCACAGTTTACTCCTGGAGTAACTGCTCAGAGCAGCCGAGCGCTTTTTCCCTGCCACTCCCTCCTTTTGGGGAGACCCCAAAATGCGGGATAAGGCAGAGCCCGGGCCCGGCTCAGCACCTGGGGCCGTGCAAAAAGCGATTTTTTCCCCCTGTGGAGCGTCCACCAGCCGGATCCAGGGCACGCCAGGAGGTGTGGGGACCTGGCAAGCAGGCGAGCAGACCTACCTGGATGTTTTTTTCACAGTCAGTTTGCTGGTGGAGGGACAGCTCACTCTCTAGCACAAATTTCTTCCCACATTTGTCGCAGATCTGCATCCGCCTGTGGGTGACGTTCATGTGCTTCTCCAGGTACCAGCGTGTGTTAAACACCCTGGGGCACTTCTCACAGGTCAGAGTCTCCTTCTCTTCACACTTTGATTTCTGCACAGGTGCCTTGGGCTCCTTTGCAGCTTTCTTCTTACGCTTGGGGGGCTCCGCGCTCTTCCTGCGCCCCCGCGTCGCTCGGGGCGCCGGGGAGGCGGCGGCGGCCGCGGCAGAGGCGGCTCTCCTGCTTCTCCTCTGGCCAACACTAACCTTCTCCACTCTTTTCTCCTTTTTCTTCTGCCTCTCATTCTCCTCATAATCATTACTGTCTTCCGTGGCCTCTTCCCCACTGTCACCCTCCTCTTCCTCACTGCTGCTCTTAAGGACAGCAGTCTCTTTGGACTGGGAGGGGACACCCTTCTCCCCTTTGGACACATTTAAGGTTTGGTTGTTAAGGTTTACCTCCACTATAATCTGCTCCCTTTTGTAAGTCACTTCATCTTCCTCCTCTTCCTCCTCCTCAGAGTCGTCAGAGTTTTCCCTGTCTTCTTTCACAGCCCGGACCTCTCCTACCGCTCTGCTCTCCCTGAAAAACGGCTGCTCCTCCCTCTCGTGGAGGTGGCCCTTGCTCACTTTGCTGTCCACCAGCACCGAGAAGGGGCTCCCTGACTCCCTCTTGTACACCTTGGTGGACAGGTCGAGCTCCTGGCTGGGGTAGAAGGCGGGCGGCCCCTCCTGCGCCATGCCGGCCCCAGGGGGCTCCCCCTTGGCTGCGTGGCTCATCTGGGGGGGCTCATGGGGCGCCCTCCGTCCCGGGGGGGCTGCTCCGGCCCGGCGCCTCTTCCATCGGAGCCCGGCGGGGTCGGGGGTCCTGGCTGGGCTGCGGCGGGGGTCGGGATCACGGCAGGGGCAGGGCGGGGAGGGATCCTCGGCAGCAAGCGGAGCCCTGGAGCATTTTATCTGCAGGAGACAGCGGGAGAGCGGCGTCAGTGGGGAGGGGGGACAGCCCGGGGGGCTCCGGGAGGAGCTGGGGCTGGGAAAGGGAGGGACAGGCAGCAGGGACCAGGAATTCCCGGCAGCAGGCTCCCAGGGAATGGAAATCCAGCAAGGGGTACTCTCCATCAAATTTTGGGGGGCACTGACATCCTCACAAACAGCAGGGACCAGGAATTCCCAGCAGCAGGCTCCCAGGGAATGGAAATCCAGCAAGAATACTCTCCATCAGATTTTGGGGAGCACTGACAGCCCCACAAGCAGCAGGGATCAGGAGAATTCCCGGCAGCAGGCTCCCAGGGAATGGAAATCCAGCAAGGGATACTCTCCATCAACCATTCCTTCTGGATTTTGGGGAGCATCGCTGGCCCCACAAACAGCAGGGACCAGGAATTCCCAGCAGCAGGCTCCCAGGGAATGGAAAAGTAGCAAGGAATACCCTCCATCAACCATTCCTCCTGGATTTTGGGGAACACTGACAGCCCCAAAAACAGACTGGCAGCAGAGTCCCAGGGAATGGAAAACTAGCAAGGAATACTCTCCATCAACCACTCCTCCTGGATGTTGGGGAGCACTGACATCCCCAAAAACAGGAGGGATCAGGAGAATTCCCAGCAGCAGACTCCCAGGGAATGGAAATCCAGCACGGGATACTCTCCATCAACCATTCCTTCTGGATTTTGGGGAGCATCGCTGGCCCCACAAACAGCAGGGACCAGGAATTCCCGGCAGCAGGCTCCCAGGGAATGGAAATCCAGCAGGGGATACTCTCCATCTATCAGAGATCACAACTACTTCTCCTGGATTTTTGGGAGCATTGATGACCCCACAAACAGCAGGGACCAGGAGAATTCCCAGCAGCAGACTCCCAGGGAATGGAAATCCATGCAAGGAATACCCTCCATATATCAGAGATCACAACAACTACTTCTCCTGGATTTCTGGAAGCACTGACATCCCCACAAACAGCAGGGACCAGAATTCCCAGCAGCAGACTCCCAGGGAATGGAAATCCAGCAGGGGATACTCTCCATCTATCAGAGATCACAACTACTTCTCCTGGATTTTTGGGAGCATTGATGACCCCACAAACAGCAGGGACCAGGAGAATTCCCAGCAGCAGACTCCCAGGGAATGGAAATCCATGCAAGGAATACTCTCCATCTGTCAGAGATCACAACAACTACTTCTCCTGGATTTTTGGGAGCACTGACATCCCCACAAACAGCAGGGATCAGGAGAATTCCCAGCAGCAGATTCCCAGGGAATGGAAATCCAGCAAGAATACTCTCCATCAACCATTCCTTCTGGATTTTTGGGAGCACTGACAGCCCCACAAACAGACTGGCAGCAGATTCCCAGGGAATGGAAATCCAGCAAGAATACTCTCCATCAACCATTCCTGCTGGATTTTTGGGAGCACTGACAGCCCCACAAGCAGCAGGATCAGGACTGGCAGCAGATTCCCCAGGAGGGGAAATCCAGGCGAGGGATGTTCTCCACCCACCCGACCACCAGAGCTGTTTCTCCTGGGTTTCTGGGAGCACTGATGGCCCCCAGACCTGCACACCCACCCCAAAAGAGCCAGCTCTCCCCCAGCCCATCCTCACACACTCCAGAGCCACATCCCAACCACGGAGCCGAGCCTGAGGAATTTCAGTGGAGCTGCTCTCACCTCGCAGCACTAAACCAGCCCGGGACACCCTGGAGACCCTGGATTTTGAGGGATTTGAGGAATTCTTCCTTTGTCCCTTCCCCCAGCTCCTTAATCCCCTCGGCACAATCTCAGTTTGCCCATCCACATTTCCCCTGCGGTTTTCCAAGCTGGAATTTGCCCGGGACTTTGCTGCCACTTCCTCCTGCAGGAAGCGCCACGTGCTCCCTCATGGACACAAAGCACATTTCTCTTTTTTTTTTTTTTCTTTTTTATTTTTTATTTTTTTTCCCACCGGGACAATTCCAGTTTGGGAGCTCGGGATGGCAACAGCGAGCCCAAAGGTTTTGGGCTGGGCTGATCCCATCAGGAATTCCCGAGCTAAAGCTGGGATCACAGGGCGCAGGGGAAGAGAATTCAGGACAGAGACATCCTGAAGGGGATGGAAGGGACAGCAAATCCCACCCAGGGACACCTTCCATGATCCCAGACTGCTCCAGCCTGGCCTGGGACACTTCCAGGGATGGAGCAGCCACAGCTTCCCCGGGAATTCCATCCCAGCCAGGAATTCCTGCCCAAAATCCACCCCATCCTCCTCTCTCCCAGAGATCCCTGTACTGTCATTTCTGTTCCAGCAGGATTTCCCCACCTTTGGAGTGAATTTTAACTGGACAGGAGATGAAGCAACCAGTGCCTCAATAAGTAATATTAATAACAATAAAGGGAATCTTGTGAAGTGCCACACTGGGGAAAGAAAGGAAAAAAATAACCAGTTCCATGATGAACTTCATTAAAACACTCCAGGGTTCCCAAATTACTCCAAATTAATTTCCAGGAGGTGCCTGGCAGGGACTGCAGGCTCAGCACCACCGCAGGGCCCATTCCCACTGCTCCATCCCCAAATCCCACATTCCCAGCCCCGCAGGAAATCCTGGGAGATGGGCCTTTAACGCTGGATTGTGGGCACAACTCACATTCAGATGGAAAGATTATAAAATCAGCTGGTTTTGGCCAGCTGGAATTCCCAATCCGAGACCCAGGAAGCGGTGGGAAGGATGAATCCCAGTTTAGCTTTTCCTTCCAGAGGGATGGATTATTCAGGAGCTCAGGAAATTCCCAGTTCCATGTAGAAAACACCTGATTATTTCCTCATCATATTAAGCATCTCTAGGAAGCTGCAGAAGGAAATCAGGAATTCTACTGCAGAGCCAGGAAAACTTGCCAGGAAAAGGAAATTTCACCTTTTCTCCTGCTTACTAAATGGCAAAAAATTCCTGCCAATATTTCACCTCCGCTCACTAAAGGGGTCTTGTATGTAAAAAAACCCTTTTTACCAAGAGGAATCACCTCAAATCAAGCCCACAGTGGGGCTTATTCTGAATTATCAAAGCTGTTTGCTCTGAAAACCACTTTGCTCTGCAGCATCAGCGGCTGCTGTGGCTTTGAACCTTTCACTGCCACCCTCAAGGGACCCACAACTTTCAAAAACATTATTTAAATAAAAAGCAAAGCCCTCCTTGGCCATTTAGTACAAACAGCAGCTCTGAAATACTGCCCTAAAAATGCTCTTAAAACACATTTCCCCCTGCTTTTAAATTTCTAATCCCAAAGCAGCGTTTGGGTGTTTTTAATCCCAAAACACCCAAGCGTTTTTTGTTGTTTTAAAGGTGAATTTAATTTTGTCAAGGCAGATTTTTCCACAGAACAAATTCCAGTCACGCTGCCAAATGAGAGATGCAGGCCGTGATTAAGATGTAAAAAGGAAACAAGAGTTTCAAAGCGATTTTTGATGCTTATCAAGCCCCAAACCTGGGGAATATCTGCAGCAATCAAAGGTTTGCAAAGACTCCGACATGAAAAGCTCGAACTCTGAAGAAAAAAAAGCACAATTTGCAGACAAAAGAGTAGGTGGAGGAAGCTGGTGAGTGTGTGGGAGCAACTTCACACCGAGGTTCTGAAGAAAAACCGCATTTTTTGGTGTTACCGGTACTAAAAATAGAGAGATTCGGGCTCGGCCGGGGAGGCATCAGCCCGGCCTGGCCTTGGGGAGCTGGGCCGGCCCGAAGGAAAAGTGAGGAAAAACTGAGGGAAAAGTGGGGGAAAAGTGAGGAAAAACAGGATTTCAGGAGCAGGTGAGGATGTGAGGGAAGCAGGATTTGAGGAAAAATGAGGGTGTGAGGAAAAGCTGAGGAAAACCTGAGGGTGTGAGGGAAAAACTGGAGGGAAACTGACTGAGGGTGTGAGGGGAAAATTGAGGAAAAACTGGGGGTGTGAGGGAAAAATGAGGAAAAATTGAGGGCGTGAGGGAAAAATTGAGGAGAAATTGAGGGTGCGAGGGGAAAATTGAGGAGAAACTGAGGGTGTGAGGGAGAAATTGAGGGAAAACTGAGGATGTGAGGGAAAATGAGGAAAAATTGAGGGTGTGAGGGGAAAATGAGGAAAAACTGGGGGTGTGAGGGAAAAATGAGGAAAAATTGAGGGCGTGAGGGAAAAATTCAGGAGAAACAGAGGGTATGAGGAGAAAATGAGGAGAAACTAAGGGTGTGAGGGAGAAATTGAGGGAAAACTGAGGATGTGAGGGAAAATGAGGAAAAATTGAGGGTGTGAGGGAAAAACAGGAGAAGTTGAGGGCATGAGGGAAAAATTGAGGGTGTGAGGGGAAAATTGAGGAAAAATTGAGGGTGTGAGGGAAAAATTGAGGAAAAACTGAGGGTGTGAGGGGAAAATTGAGGAGAAACTGAGGGTGTGAGGGAAAAATGAGGAAAAATTGAGGGTGTGAGGGGAAAATGAGGAAAAATTGAGGATGTGAAGGAAAGATTGAGGGCGTGAGGGAGAAATTGAGGGTGTGAGGGGAAAAATTGAGGAAAAACTGGGGGTGTGAGGGAGAAATTGAAGGAAAAACTGACTGAAGACTTGGTGAAAACTAAAGATTTCAGGAAAAGCTGAAGGTGTGAGGAAAAACTAGGGAAAAACTGAGAGGATGAGAGGGAAAATTGAGGAATTCAGGAAGAGCTGAGGACTTGAGGAAAAGCTGAGGATGTGAGGGGAAAAGTGAGGATTTCTGGAAAAACTGAAGATTTCAGGAAAAGCTGAGGGTGTGAAGATGTTTTCCCACTGAAACTCCGTGAAATCCCCAGGTCATGTGAATTCTGGAGGGAATAAGCACAGATTGCACCAGGAAAACACAAAATGGGCTAAAATGACATTTTTGGGGTGTCCTGTGCAGGAACTGGCCTCGATCCCTGAGGGTCCCTTTATCAGGATATTCCATAATTCCATAAACGGGTCCATAACAGCTCAATAAATCTGCAATA